TGTGTGTGTGTGTGTGTGTGTGTGTGTGTGTGTGTGTCTGCAGCCTCCCTTCACTCTGTGTCTGCCCTAATACCATATAATGTCTCTTTCATTGAGGGGATAAACTGACTACAAAGCCACCTCAATGGAAACTTAATGAATCTATTAGCAATGCTTGGATCTGCTCCCCCCGTCCTCACCCAATCCTCAACCCTGAGGGGCCAGAGACGCTTCAATACTCAATACGCCAGTCTGGAAGGCCAGTAGCCTTAGGTAGTCCAGCTTCTTCTGTACAAAGACCTAGCTCTTCGTACTCAGTGGGATAAGAGAGAGACAGGAGTTGGGGGGTCCAAAAGGATTTTGACACCTCCTCCCTGTACCTGCTGGTTCACTCCAGGGTCACCACAAGCATGTATATCAGTGGTACAAGAGATCAGGGGAACATTCTATATTGTTAAACCTGGAGTATAACAGGCTTGCCTCTACTACTTGTGTAGTTTGCAAAATCTGTGTTTTTCAGTTACATTTCAGGAGAATTTAAGGACTAAGACAAGCTCATCTGGAAACATTTTCTATAGGGACTCTTTCAATGTACATATGAGCATTAGTCTTAGATAAAATAGATAAAATAGGAGCATTGACGTAGTCAAGTATCCACAGGAAGGGGATTTTAATTATTTTGGGATAATTTGTAGTCCCCAGTTTATGTGCAATGTTAATGTCCATCGGCCATGTGTGTAGATGTAGAGTACCCTCTATTTAGCAAAGTAGAGTAAGAGAAAGAAGGTAGAGGTGGTGCATGGTTGAGTTTATTCTTCCATCTACCAAACAATGGTAACATGTTATATCTGTTATGTATTCTATTGCAGTGTCTTGCATGAATACTGACTTTAAAGCCAATTACTCTAGAAACCATTATAAGTACATTCTGTTTAACTACATTAACTCTCTGCTTGTTTCTAAAAGAATTTTAGACTGTTCTGTAGTAAAGTGATGTATCCAAGGAGATCACAGAAAAAAAATCAAGAAAGCAAAAAGACAATTCTCTGTCATATATGATCCCTCGAGGACATGCACATCGTTTGTTTTATTCATGTGCTGTGGTTGAGGGAAAAGAGATTTGAATTGCTCAGTTAAATACCTTAAACATTAATGAAATGTCCAAAATAGAGGCACTTTGTGAAGAAAATTGAATTCAGACACTAAGTTAAAACTTGTAAAGACAAGTTGTGAAACCATACCCCTATACCTTACAGTCACTAGTGGACTGGCGTGTGGCACTCCTCTCACCTCCACTAAACCTCAGTCTGACACGAGGTCAGGCCAGGGGTTAAATGGCTGTGTTGGTCCTTGGAAAGCCCAGAAAGGCTCATTGTCCAGAGGCCAGAGGGGTAGAGGGCACACAGTGAGGGGTGAAGCAAAGGGAGCGCCAAGCTAACCCCCCAAGCCATAGGAGTTCTTGGTGTGACCCGTACGGATAGCCGCCGCCATGTTTCATCTTTTGTGTTGTGTAATTTGGAAGGGTCATGAAGATAAGCAGAAAGTTGACCACTGTTTTAAGTGTTGGTGGTCTGTCTTGCACAAGACAATCAATGTGTGTGGAGCCCAGTGACATTGAAGGACTTGTGACTATAGATGAACGTTGTCTTTAGACTCACCACGCCCTGCGCATCAGACATAACAAGAGGATGGCTAACATTCCTGACTGCTTCATGTGCGTCTAACAGACGAGGGGATCAGCATGTAATATAACCTCATATAAATACAATTATTTCTGTTGAGAAATACTAAGTCGAGTATTAATTAGCAGCCCTAATAATCCTGAGGTGTGAGGGGTTTACAAATTAATCTTAAAGGTTCAGTGTGTGGAAGTTTGTGATATCTAGTGTTGAAATTGCATGTTGCAGCTGAACACCCCTCACCTCACCCTCCTCTCTCAAACATGAAAAAGAACCTGTGGTAGCTTCAGTCATAAAAACTCAAAAGGTGTTTAGTTTGTCCAGTCTGGACTAATGTAAAAAACATGGCAGCCTCCGTAGAGAGGGTCCCCTCGATGTAAATATAAAGTATTTAAATATAAAGGGCCTTTTCTGGGGTAAAGAAAACTTTAATTCATACAATTTAGATGAAACGAACTAGTGAAAACATCATGAGGATTATTCTACATTCAATTTCTACCAAAAGATCCCTTTCACCTAAATCTTACACACTGGATCTTTAATGCCACCAAGATGCCATGTGTGTGGTCTGATGTTCTGAAGATTATAAGAATAAAAATCTGTCAAATCTGTCAGTATGTCTGTGGTCTTTTACATTTTAAAATAGGTCATCAGTCATTTTTGGGCCTCACACACAAACACACACACACTCCAACCACTTTTACTGACCACTGTTCACACTACACTCCCTGACAGCACATCGACACAAGCAGTCAGTGATTTGTCTCTTACCTGAGCTCCCTGCTGTGCTGCAGCTGTAAATCACGAATCTGCTTAAGCTGAGCCTGACAAAATGTTAGGAAGCTGCCTGAGGCCAAGCTGAGCTGTTGAACAGCAGGGGCTGACAGAAAGGGGTCTGTCTCCTCACCATCAATGGCTCTCAGGCCAGCCACGGCTCTCTGCAGAGTGCATCTGAAAAAGAGAGAACATAAAAAAAACGGGTTCATTTTGACCAATATGTATTCAAGTGAAAAATAAAACCATATTATCAACATATTGGCTGCAGCACTGACCACATTCATTTGAAAATAACTATAACTGTAAAGTAGCTATACTTCATTATTGAGCAAGTTTTAGAGTCTCTATTACTGCTCTATACTTTTCTAAATAATATTAGAGCATTTTGAACAAGCTCTCCCCCCCTGAAAGGAATACAAACAAGCTGATGAGTCTAACAGTTTGTTTACTCCCCCCAAAAAAAGAGGCCTTGAGAGTGACAGGCTGAAATGTCAGATGCAGCGGAGACATTAAAGTGAGAGCGAGAGAGGCTCAGGAATAAGAAGATTTCACCCTCAGGCTTGTGTCACAGAGTAACAGCATGATTTGACTTTTTGGTCAATATAGACAAACATCTGAAGAGGCTTCAGACTTGTGGTGAAAAGTCTTCTTATTCTGTTTTATATTGAAGATGCACATTTTTTCACTACCACAACTATTCAAATCACCATCTTGTTGCATGATGATTGTCTTATTGAAACCCCGTCTTTATAGGTGTAAAGCTGCTCCAATGCAGGAGGGTTAGAGCAGCCATTCTCCATTTATACTGACAGGTAGTGTGTTTGAGAAAACAGTTGTGGGTCCCACTGAGGCCACTCATCGTACAAGCTGTTCTGTATGCTGACAGCATTGTACATTTTGTCCTCTGGACTAACCAGGCTAATGTGCTTACAGTGATCTGGTAAATTTGTTGAACTTATTCACTGTTAAAAATGATGCACACTGTGATCTGGCATTATAATATTAAGCCGTTTGAGACAATTTACTTCATTGTTAACTTTATACTGTTGTATCTAAAAGTGTTGATAGCCCCCCCCCCCCAACCAAATATGGAATATGTTAGGTAGTATTAGCCTTCAAACTGGAGGGAAGCCCTGAACGGCTTATGAGTCTGGGGGAGAGGTAACTGCCGCCTGAGGCTAAGGATGTACGAGCAGAAGAATCTCAACTATCTGCCAGAGAACCAGACTCCGAGCATCCACCAGCGGAGACCAAATGTGGTTTGTGTTCAGTGGGAAAATGTGGAGCTGGGAACTCCACAGGACACTAGGGATCGGCAACAATAAAATCCACAAACGAATCCAAGCTTTCAGGCGATGAAGTCAATTAAAAAAAAATGATGATCAACTGGGAATCTCTAAACTGATTCCAAAGCTGATGCGTGCTCTTAAGTCCTGCTGCTATGCCAGCGAACTAGAAGACAACACGTGTTGAGGGAGAGCTTTTCATTTCACTCAGAATGTGTTTTTGTGAAAACTATTTCATATTGTATCACTTTGCATATATATCTACATGTTTTACCAATGTATGGCTATAATAGATTTTTAAGAGTAGATCTCTTTGGGTTGTCTGAAACAAAAAGCTTCATTTTCAAATAATTATCAACTGTCCCCTTCACTTAATACACTTCATGTACTGTAGCCATTGATAGCAAACTAACTGAAATTTATTCTGATTCATTTATGAGTTGTGATCCCTTTCTCCAGATCCTTAAAAGCAGTTCATGCTCTACAGAAATAGCATGCAGAGCTTTCCCAACCCTAGCGCCACCCTGAGTCAAAGACATCACCACAGAGGACGGGATGTGTGTATTGTCAGGGGGATACAGTTTTCATGTGGCCCACTTGGCCTCTCTGACACAGATCGGGATTAGATTCCAACCCTTCAGGCATGATGTCTGTAGCTTTCTGTCCTCAAATGAAATGAAGCTCCAAACCCAAATGGGACCTTTAGATAGTTACATGAGCTCATTGAGGTGCAGATTGTAATTTAATTCAGGGCTGGACGCCACTTAGACACACATGGATGAATGCAGAGTCGACCTATGTACAAAATAATTAGATGTCATGGGTTGTTGATTGTTACAGGGAATTATTCTTATCAGACAAATCAAGGGGTGGAGTGGTGGTTTTATAAAGACAACTCTTACAAGACTCAATCATTTTCATGATTTTTGAGAAGCATTTTTCCCTGTTCCGGCATCATAATTGTGTATTTATCAAGACTCTGTATTTATTAAAAACATAAAACTAATAATAAAGCTAGATCTACGTTAACTGTAGTCGGACAACCTGAATCTTTTCTAAATTGATTAAATGTCATCCTCCTTCACTCCGTTCTGGGGAAAACTGTTCTTGGCTCACATTCCTTCATCCCCCGCTTCTATACCGTATGAGCACAAGTCCGTATTTCATTTAGTGAAGACTTCCTCAAAAACACGGGCTCTTAAAGTGACCCTGATTAATCAGGCCCAGTGTTTTCCTCGGGATCAGGAGCAGCCTACAGGGAGTGGAATTCTTTGCTTTGCCGTTTGGTGCTCTAATTTAGCCGGTGTTATCACTGGCTCGGGATGAAAGGGCCGGGGCATGAGTGTGGAAATACAGAGGGTTAATTCCAGCGCTGGCACTGGAGGTTAAGAAAAGTTCAATCAAATATTAAGGTAATGTTTCAGTTGACGCTTAAGATGGAAAAAGTAACCACAAGTAACTAGTGTTCTGAGGTATGTTTTTAAAGAGCATAAACTACTAAAACACAGGTATTTGCAAATAAAAAAAACATGAATTTTATGTTGAAACTGTCAGTATCATTTAACCACATGGTCAGTAGTACATAAAGCATTAATGGTTTACATGTGCCATTGAAATTCAACTCTTCTACGTAATGAAGTTGCTGATTTTCTCCCAAAAAATGTTTCATGAATTTAACTAATACACCAAATCTTATCAGAAAACTACCCATAAATAATTCTCCAAACCTGCAACATTTAGGGCTTTTCAGTGAGACAAGAAAGTATAGTTTTTCATATTTTGTACGTTTGTCTGATATTATATGGGTGTGAGCAGCTTTGCGGAGACAAATAACTTTGCAAAGTGAGATCATTGCACATGACAGGATGATTAAAGAATATGAGTGATCACTGCATATTTTTCTTGTAACTCACTGCAATTGTCTTTACACAGGAAAAACATTTAGGTGCAGTAAGTGAGTGAGCAAATCGACACTGAAAAGATAATTGATTTTTCTGTTGTATCAATATTTTGGGAATTACAAGCACTTAGCATGACGTACATACACACAGATGTCGGTGGCACATTGCAGTAATCTAATAGCAGGCGCGGATCACAGCACTAATCCTGGGAAGTGGAGGGGAAGGCCTGTGTTCTGCTGGAATGTTTAGACTATCTGAGCCAATAGACCGTATTTTTGATAAGAGAAATACTAGATTTTCACTGGTATGTTCCTTTTGAACATCCATCACAGCGAGTAATATTTCAGAGCAAAAGAAAGCTCCAACTTTTTTCCAGAGAATTTCCAGAAAGACCCTCGGAAATTTCTTATTATGCTATCTTGATAAGAAGCTTTGATGCAGATATGCACATACTCAAGTCAGATGTGAACAGCCGTCCAGAATATTACTGCGTGCACTAAAATCAGCTTAATACAACAGTTCTGCCTCATGTGCCTTAAAAGCAGAAGCATACAGAGTAGTTAAGAAAATATTTTGTTGCAGGAAAACAGTAGCCCTTGAAATATGCTCTAACTCCTGCATCCAGAGAGCTCCTTACCTCCAACCAATCTCTTGCTGAAGAGGATTCCCGCTGAGGTGGACCTCTTGCAGGAAGAGACATCCTTTCACACCTTCACACACATTCTGCAGTTCTGAGAGAGACGTAGAAAAACAACTTTGCTATGCAGTGTCTATTTTTCAGTCTATTTCTCACTGTCACCATTGTCTCAGCTGGTTATACAGACGGAGACGTGTAATAGAGACCTATGCATCTTCTCTCCAAAGAGTCATATACTGTAGTTTGACAGCCAGCACTGAGTCAATATGAAGGCAGTAGCATAATATAAAATGGTGGAACCACAGGGGTTTATGCCTTAATGTCTGGTACATCTAAATTTACAGTGGCACTTTATCTTTAGTTATTTTATTAGATGAAATCCATCTTTGGCTGAGTGGCTGTAAAGAACAGAAAAATGAAGAAGGTCTGTGAACTACAGAAAAAATCCACTGCACTGAAAACAATTGGATCTTACAATATGCCTTTGTCAGATGATAAGAGAAGTAATAATAATAATAATAATCTTAATTTATAGAGCAATTTTCAAAACCAAAAAAAGACAAAGTGCTTCATACAAGGCAGCAAATTTATATATATATATATATATATATATATATATATATCATCGCCTAAAGTAGGTTTTGGTTTGTCTGCATTACATAAACAGTAGGAGTCAGCTTTGAGAAGAGGGAATAAGATTTCTATAATCTGTTTAAACAAAAAAAACATGTTACCTGACATGCAGTTGAAGCGAAGATCCAAATTTGTAAGGGACACAAAATCAGACATGGAGGGCAGGAGGGTAATTCTAAGAAAGACAGAGACATATTGTGAGCCTTACATGCAGAACTCATGTTGCTGAAAAACACAGATATATTTAAATTTACATTCAATGATGCTTGAGTCACCAAAAAAGTTTTAATTTTTATATGAAATTACTGAAAAAGCCAAAAGTATTGTGTTATCTTTTTTTCCCGAAACACAACAGACCTCAGGCAAAGACAGATATGGAGTAATATAATAATAATTCAAGTAATTTGCTGGTAATTAACCTGTTTTCAGCCGCTGAGAGGTGGTGCATGAGGGGAAGCCAGCAGACAGCAAGGCCCTGCAGTGACGAGATGCTGTTGTCATCTAGATGCAGCTCTCTGAGGAGGATGTGGTTGTTCACACTGGGGGGCTGATGGACAAACAAGGTGAAAAAGTCAGTTAACACAAGTAACACTGAGGAGTTGGACTAAGTTTCTACACTGCTGCTGCTGCTGCTCTAGAGAGGCTGAAAGACCCCCGTCCATCACTGTCAGTCGTTTTAGTCCTGCTGTGTTTACAGTCATCATCTTGTCTCGGGCCACAAGTGACATTTGTCAAAGACCAACTGGTGCTGAGTGTTTACCCAGTGAAGATGTTCCCATTTTCATACTGATGAAAATGTGTTTTTATATTTAATTTCATATAATATTATAAGATTTTTTGCCTTATCCAGCAGTTACTCTCTAACACATACACCCATTTCTGTCTTTAAGTTGTCAGTGGCATGTGCTCATGCTGAGACCATCTCTTTTGTTCAATTGAAACTTGTGTGATTAAAGATAAATAAAATATTTCACCTCATGCTTCAGTTTGACATTTCTGAGACAAGTTTATCGTCACCTTTAATCTTTTGTAAATTTGTGCTGTCCACCAATAGAAGCATTGTTCGGTTCTGTACATCTTATGTGGAAATATATCTTTAATGTGTCTTATCACCATGTTTTGTACAGAATTACACAAAACATCAACACCATTTGTATGATTTTTACCAATAATTGCCAAAAACCGCAGGTGAAAACTAGTCTGCACGGCTAAATCTGGCACATTTATATGTTGGAATCGCATGGAAATAATGTGCATGACATTTTCAAATATATAAACATTGGGTTTGTTGCATTGTATTCTTCCTTCATCTATTAAGTCATGTTTACATTTAAAGCCTTCGGTTGTACAGGGTTTCAGGGAGTTCTTAAAATCAGGTCACATTAAACATTTTCAAGTTTCTTTGAATTTAAATTTGGTTTGTCTTATTTTGGAGAAGTGAGAAAAACTTTGCAAATGTTCCAACTGAGGCCATGACATTGAATTGTAGAGTCATAAAGAAATGTCATGCAACATGTCGTTTTGTCACAGTACGTTTTTCAAATACGATAGATTCAAGGTGATGGTGCGAGCCCAAAAAACTGGCTTCCTTATGTGTTGCTCATTTCAATAAATCCACTCATATATGTATGTCATACTTTCAAGCTTATTATTTTGAAGGATTTCATGCTAGATGTCAAACTTGTTTTTTTTTCTTCATTCTGACTAGTCACGTACACACTAACCCTCTCTAAAATTACATCTGGGGTTTGTGATTATATATATTAATATATAATGTAATATAATACATCTAATTTCTGCATCATGATAAAAACGAAAAAAAGCAACAAATTGAAAAGAAAATGGACTTTAAACAAACAGGCTTTTGTTTTGTGAAATCCATCCCTACATACAAATGATTTACATCCCCACATGATGAAAACATAATCATGCAAGTTTAATTCAATAAGCCCTTTACAGCCGTTCACCTCCCTCAAACAACTGAATTACTTTCCGTCCAGGTCTAATAAAATTGCAACACTGAACCGAACAGTGACATCAGCTCCACTGCTCAGCTGTTGTTACCTCAGTGAGGCTGTTGGATCTCAGGTCCAGTGTCTGGAGCAGAGCGCAGTTCTCCAAACCCTCCACGCTGGCCAGGTGATTGTGTGAGCAGTCCAGGTGAAGGAGGGTGCACGTGTCCCTCAGCCCTTTGGTGCTGATCAGCTGGTTGTGATCCAGCGACAAACGCTGCAGTCTCCTTATAGACTCCAGACCAGCTGGGAAAGAAACAAAATGAGAGGAGCCGTTTAAAAGCTACAAAGGCTGCAGGACAAATCTACGTATGAACAGTAAGCAAATCATAAGCATGATGAAATGAGACAGTCCTTGCTTTTACATGTATGAACAATTTCAGGGGTGAGTCAGAGGAAAATGTTACAGTAGCCGAAAATACCACTGAATGCATTTAACCTCTTGCCTGGCCAATATATATTTATGACTTTAGCCCCACGCCTCAGGGCCCAGGTTGACTTTAGTAATGAATCACGTTTCAATGCAGATTGCAGTGAATGGAGAAGAGATGGAAAAAGGAGAGCAAGACTGCCCTCTTGTGGATTATTGCAGAACCCACAAGAAGGCTTCATCTTGGCTGCTACTGCACATTCAGTCCAAGGACAAGACTACGATGACTTAAAGACCGTATCTGTGACACAATCAAATATTATTTCATTTCCAAGCATCAAAGTTTGTTTTTTATATCTAATTCATTTTTAAGTTCTCACCAATGCGGGTGATGGAGTTGTGTGAGAGGTCCAGAACATTCAGATTTTCAGCTCCGCTCAAACCATGGATGGACGTTAACTTGTTGTGTCCGAGTCGAAGAACTTGTAAACTCGCCATGTTTTCACAATCCACAAATGAGATGGAATTCTCCTGAGACAAAAATCCAATTCAGTACGAGCAACATAATCAATGGCACCGGTTGACCCATCACATACGGATTTAATGTTCACCTGCACGTCGATGCAGCGGAGCTGTGGTAACTGGTTGAAGCCCTCCAGGGATTTGAGGCCACAGCGTCTGAGGGTGAGGGATTGAAGTTGAGGACACTGCGCGAGCGTGACGAAGCTGCAGCCAGGCAGGTCCTCCAGGGTCACCGTGGTAACCTAAAAGAGAGGCAGAGGTTGCGTCGGATTTCAGGGGTTAATTTGGAACATATGACATTGCACAAGAATAAATATTTGTATTATATTTGTATGATACAATATTTCATATATACAACAATATGTATAGTATTATACAAACTACAGACCACCAGAAATGTGATAGTGCTAATAAAAATCACTCTCTGTCATAAAGCTAGCAATAACACTTCCATGTCAGTGTTCAAACAACTTCATCACCTCCACCAAGGAGGTTGTTCTTGTCTGCGTTTGTTTGTTAGTTAGCAGGATTACACAAAAACTGCTGAACAGATTTCCATGAGGGGTGGGCAGGATTTAACAGTATGATATTGGGTGTTTTTCAACTTTTACGTTAATGTCTCAGAGAATAATTCTATTATAATCTACGGAGTGTGTGTGGATCCATTTAAAAGTGGTTCCTCATGGGGAATGTTGGGCCTTGAGAGGTTCTAATTCTTCATAAATAGCATCTGCATCATGGCTGAACATTGGCACATAGGTTACCTCTTGCAGGGATTTGCAGCCTGTGGACTGAAGCAGAGTTTGCGGACAGACAGGTGGCAGACTACAGGCCTCGGAGGCCCTGCTCAGTCCCCTGCGACTTCGGGCATGGACGTTTTGCTTGCTCTTGTTCTGCAGAGACAGTCTGGACCACGGGACGCAGTCTCTCATCCAGGACAGTCTCTTCTGCTCGGCGTGCTCTGGAAGACACATGGGTAAAGGGCAGGAGGAAGTGCGAGGCGATACGTCTGCATCTTGTTTTATTGTTTGAGATGTGGAGGTGTAGAGGAGACTCTTGTTTGGGTCAAGCTGTTGTACATTTTCAGAGCGGGAGGGACAGACGGTGGACTGACTTTGTAAAGAGACAGTGCATGAGGAGGTCAGAGTGATATTCTTTGTCTGGTTTTTCAGTCCATCCTTATCTCTTCTCTTCTCTTGCTGCTTCAGCCTCTCGTCCTTTTCGGTGTCCTGCACTCTAAAGCTTTTCTCCTCTCCTTTGACTCCTCTTTCTTCCGTTTTTATTTTTTCTTCCTGGTCTTTTCTCACATCTTCCTTGATCTGCCATTTGTCTGCTTCTTTATTTCTCCTCACATCATCCCTTGTTTTTAACTCATGTTCCATCTTTCTGTTGTTTCCATTCTGTTCCATCTCTTTCTTGTTATTGTGCTCTTCTTCTTTCTGTTCCCTCACTTGTTGCTCCAGCCACTTCCTCTTTTCCTCTTCAGCTGTTTTCACTTCTTCCTTCTTTTTATCATTACATTCCATACTATGTTTCATCTCCTCTTCCTTCTTTCTCTTTTCTCCATCTTCCTTGAGCTGCATTTCTTTGATATCTCTATCTTCCTCTTTCGTATTCATCTGCTGAGCCACCATCGTCTCTTCCTCGATATTCTTTCCTTTCTCCTCAATTTTTCTCTCGTCCACCTTTTTCATCTCCTCAGTCTTTGTCCTCACCTCAAGTTCCTTAGGGATCCTCCTCTCTTCCTCTCTTTTCTTATTTTCTTCATTACTGTTTTTACTGTCGTGTTGCTTTTCTTCCTTTCGACACTGCTCTTGTACCATTTCTTCTTGATTTTTTCTCCTTTTGTCTTCCTCCATCTTCTTTGCCATCTTTTTATCCACTGCCCTTGTTTCTACCTCCTCCTCACTTTTCCTATTCTTCTCCTTTATTTTCTCCCCATTTTGCTTCCTTTCTCTCTCCTCGCCTTCTATCTGCCTCATCTTCTCTTCTTCCTTAAGTCTTATTTCTTTTATTTTTCTATCTTCCTCCTTCTTTCTCATGTCTTCCTGTAACATCTTTCGCTCCTCTTCTTTTTTCCACTTTTCCTCCTCTTCCTTTTTCCGCTTTTCCTCCTCTTCAATTCTCCTCTTTTCCTCTTCCTCCATTTTCCTCTGCTCCTCTTCTCTCTTTCTTCTGTGCTCTTCTTTTAGTTTAATTTCTTCTATTTTTCTCTTTTCCTCTTCCTTTCTTTTCATCTGTTCCTCCATCCTTTTGCGCTTCTTCTCTCTCTTAATTCTCTCGTCTTCCTTTTTCCTCCTGTCCTCCTCTCTTCTCCTCTTTTCTTCTTCCTCCTTCCTTTTCTTCTCACCCTCTTCCTTGATCCTCTTCTGCTCCTTCTCTCTCGTCTTCTTCTCCTCCTCAACTCGTTTTTGTAAGTTGCTGATCAGCTCCTGATCGGTGAAAAAAACAAAGCAAGTCTCATTAAATTTTTCATTCATTTCTCAATAATCTCTTTAAAACTTTTTATTATTAACAAATAAAACAACCCA